GGCCACCTACTCGGAGGGTAACGCCGACACCCGGCTGGGCTGCGAGCCGGCCCGCTCGGACGCCACCACCGCCATCACGGTGCGCCGGACGGACAGCCTGCTGTCCAGCGAGGAGCTGGCCGTCATCAAGTACAAGGAGGACCCTCTGCACTTCGTGGACGCGCTCCGCTGGGAGAGTCGCCTCTTCTTCCCCTACTACAAGTTGCGGGCCACGCTGGGCAAGGATGGGGAGCGGCCGAGCATGGCTGTGCTGCGCCAGCTGCGGCCCTCGGAAGGTGCCTTTACTTTGCAAGGCCAGGTGTATCTGGACTGCGGCTGGAGGGGGCTCCTAGACAGGGAGCGGAGGGCTGGTGGGTGGGTGTTTTCCGCCACAGCCACAGCGCGAAGGCCTGGAACAGCACCGCCGTCTGCATCTTCGGGATGGAGGAGATGAGCGAGCAAGCCTGCGTGTCCACGCACTTCCTCGGGGACGGGAACCTTTGTGTAAGTCGTGGCGCCGCTCTTGTTAAGCTTTATCCCTTCAGACCGTGGTTGTCACTGTTGTTGTCGTTGCCGCTGCTTGTGCGTAACTCCATGGGGTGTCCCCCGCTGACGGACCTGAAGGCCCGTGAAGTTCACAGGAGCTTCTGAGCTGGGCCAGGCTTTGCGCATCAGCTGTGGCTCCGTCAGCCCTCAAGTTTTCTCTAGGGCTTTCTCTTTCTAAAGAGCTGATCCCCCTAACGGGTCCTTGCAGCCTGTCTGATGGGTAGTCCCCTTCCCAGTTATGTTCCAGGGAAGGCATGGCGGAGGGGGTACCTGACAGCGCTCTGGGTCAGGCAAGAGTCTCAGGCTTCTCGGGCGTGCACCCTTTTGCTGCCAAGGATTAGTTATATTTCACTGTATTTTCTGTGGAGCCTACATAAAGCATTTCCTACCTTGTTCTGTGCATTCACATCTCCTGTCATTGCAGCTGCATCAGAAGTGAAAAAAAGCCCGTCAAAGTGACTCCCGTGCACTGGGCTGCGTGCATTGTTATGCCTGTTGCTCACTAGTTATTTATGATCGCTTATGCAGTGGCGGGCGTTTTCCATATGTCCCAGGATTGCCCCTGCTCAAGAGGGCTCACAAAACCCACCCAAACATGTATACACAGCAGACAACCCTTGGCAAGATCTCTTTGCTGTTGCGGTGGTTACATTTTTAAGGCAGTGGTATCCCATGGAGATCCCCTGGTCGCCCACTTCTGCAACACTGTCTCTTCAGCTCCTTCATCCTTTTAGAGTCAGCTATGCATGGGGAGGGCAGGGTGGGCAAGGCTTCCAGGTTTGCTGTGGCCTTGGCAACTAGTGAAAAAAACAGCTAAAAATGTGAATCAAGACAAGAAGCTGCTTTTGCAAGGCCCTTCCATGCTTTTAAAAGTCACACCCCTCAGAAGTCTTTTCAGTTCTGTAGCAAAGGAACAATGCTGAAATGCTATAGTTCTCAGGGAGGACTATAGGGGATCAAGCCTTCATAAAGAAAGCTCTGACCTTTTGCAGCTCCCCCACCATCCACAGACTTTGCAGCTTAAGCCCTCAATTCTTCCTCTGTTATGACAGGAATTTGTTGTAAACTCCTTGAAAGAAGTCTTGTAGATTTGCCATCGCTCCTTGACTTCCAAAATCTAGCAGAGCTCAGTGCTTGAGATTTCTTGCAAACAAAAGCTACCAGGGGGCACATGCAATTCAGTAGGGAAATGCACAGATTGAATCATAAGACCGTTACTGGTGTTTAAGGACCATAATTATGAACGAGAACCCCATATGTGGGTGAAACAACTGTGCTGAAGCCAATACCAAAACACTTACTCATTTCAACAGAGCCAGAACCAAATCCTTGGATTTGCAATGCCAGTTTGTAACTTACTGCGTGATTTCTATGCTGTCATGTAGCAAAATTACTGAATGAAGTTAAAGTCTCCTCTCATCCCAAAATACACATATGCAGTTTGGATTTTGAATTTGTATTCTTTGTTTTCAATTACTCGTGGATTTTCTTCCCTGGAAAACAAAGGTGCTTTCTGAGCCTGCAAAAGCAAAAAAGAAATGTCTCCGAGCAGCAGATCCTTAATAAATACATTTCAAAGCCCAATGTTAGAAATTCCAGATGAGTCTTTCGGAATGTATAGGGTATGGTAATGACAGATATTTCTGTTCCGATCTGTGTTTTTCTGAATCCCCTATCTCCATTGTACCCAGGTGTCTCAGTATGGAAAGCCAATGTTCTTCTTGCTTAAGGATTGGTCTGATTTAGCTCAAACTCCTATTATCCCAAAGTTACAAAGCTTGTCCCTCCTGGAAATGTCAGCTGTATTTGGCCATAACACTGAAGACTCTCAACATTTAAAATGTTTGAAATGACTGCTTAATATTGTGTCCCTAACTATAATGATGTAGTTAATCACGATACTCTTGCAATGATAAATACAGCTTATTACTCACAATAGTATGGTATTTAGTATTTTTTGAGATAGCAGACATCAGAGAGTTGGGCAGTAATATGACTTGCAGTATTACATGGCAAATGATACTCCCTTTTTAAGGTAATTATATGTGCTTGTGGTGTATAAACATAGAAACAAATGCAAGTTTTTCAGCTTTAATATGAATTTTTTTAGTACAGAAGGTTAGACTAGGCTAACGCAGAATAAGTTTAGAGATGCCAGGTCCATATGCTGCTGTTTCTGAGTTGATTTAATCCATATCTTTTTACCGCCTCTCACCAGATAGTATGAGTCCCTGCAAAAGTGGAACATGTCCTTTGGTTTAAAAGTATACTGGGTTCAGGACCAGCAGGAAAATAGTGCCTAGCATGTTGATCAGTATGGAGGATATAAGAAAGGTGTGTATAAAAGCTAGCAGTGGCTCTAGTCAGGTCTTACGTGTGCTTTATGGCCCAGTCCAGGTAATGAGCATGGGAATATGTTGTGCCTGGAATTTGTGCTCTGTACAGACTTGGTGGCTGTGTTGAACATAAACCTGATTTTTGCCTTGAAGATGTCATGCGTTTTAGGGTGTTGTGGGTCTTAGTCTTCTTTGCCTGGGACACGGGAATTCTAGAGCTCAGGCATGATGTGGTCTCGTATGTGTCTATGGACACAGCCTGTCAGTTTAAGTAGGGGCTGAAAGTACTTTTTTTTCACTGTAGGAATATGATTTGTAGTGAGAGTGTATGTTAGGGATTAGTGCCAGTTTTGTCTTTCTTCTGATCTTGCCATTCTTCAGATTTTTGTCAATATTATGATTACCTGTAGGCAAGACATCGTCTCACCTGTCTGTGCTTGTACTTGCATTGCCTTGGCACTGTCTCTCTAGCGGTATGCTGCAAGGGATACTTACCCCAAGCTGTCTGTGCTCCTGAATTCCCTCATACGCTATTGATGTGTATGCTACCCTAAGTTCAGTCCTCTACTGAGCTTTCTGGCCCTAACCCAGCAAAGCACTTATGTGCATATTTAACATCAGGCGTGTAAGAAGTTCCATCATCTTCAAGGGAACTGCCCATGCATCTAAAGTTAAGCATGAACTTGAGTTGGCTCCACTGGCTCCACTCCACTGGATTGGAGCCAAACTGCTTAGCATCACACACCTAAACTCATTTTAGGTGTGTGATCTCTTTGGTGTTGCACTGCTGCTTAGCCCAAATTTGACATTTACATTAGGTTTTAATGCTGGATTTGAGCCTGCCATTCTGAATGAGTGATTTTTAAGAGCCTTGCTTACCAACTTTTTCAAAAAGTGTGCGACTCTGCCACGAATTGTGTGGAATTGCTGCTTATGAGAACAAGCTAATTCTGCCTTCATTTCATGCAGTGTGTGCACAAAGCATTTTGTCCAAGTTGTCTGTATTTATTTTCAATGCATATATTGTTGGATTTCCAGAGATATGATCCGTAATTAGCAAGAAGCAAGTGAAGTCTCAAGCGAAACTCTGTGAACATTTTAGTTTTCTGATCTACTTGTTTTTCTCTGGTCCACACTTAATTTTGAGTATAGCCAGTTAACACTGTTGAGGTGTATATGTTAAAAGCCTTGCTAGCATAAACTGCATGTACATCAGCATATCTTCACAGTTTCCTTAGTTGTTAAATGTGAATTTACCAAATCTCGTCCTCAGTTTCTTCTCAGAAACCTGATTGACCAATGTGAACATTTTGGATGGATTGCAGTGACGAAATGGAAGCTGCCTAGCTAAAACATTTGAGGAATATTGGAATTTGTCACAAACTTGTTCCAGTACATAATGAATTTACAGCAAGCCTTTCCTTGCATTGCTTTGAGACTGAAGGGAAGCTCCTGGAGCCTCAGCTGTCTCCCAGAGAATAAGGATCTTGCAGGCCATAGATAAGCAGATGAGTTGGAGAACAGTGCTCAAGTTAGAGCACATCAACAGGAGAGAGTTGTAGGACATTACCTAACCACAGTGACAAAATTAGGTTCACAGTTGGAGAAAGTCAAATGGGAAGAAAATGACTCTACAATTTTACAGGGAGAAAAAATATATTAAAAAACATATTAGGCTTAAATCTGAAAGACAGAGGGAAGTTGCTGCCTTTTATATTAAGATGTTTGTTTTATGATGCGCTAAAGGCTAAGTGGCTAGCTAGCTACTAAATGATAAGATATCTTGGTTGGATTTCCATCTGCTGTTTAATGCAAATAAAAATATACCATAGCCTGCTCTTTGAATTTTTGCATTTTTCATTGAGAAATGAATATGTGAGTTAGTATATGCCCCTTAATTTATAAAGCATAATCTGGAATCTTGGAACAAATCTTAGTTATCCCTTCTCTACAGAAATCAGGTATTGAAGTCAACAGAGCCACACGAGTTTAATCATGGCCAAATTTGCAAGAATGACATTTGAGTTTTTGTGGTAACTCATTTCAAAGTGAGTCAAGATCTTTTATTTAAGTAAAGATTTACTAAATATCATTTGGTATCAGGATTGACATGTAATTAATTTCTAGTAGTAAAGTCATTTCCTGTGTATTACCAGAGTGCTGTTACTACAGAGTGCTATTTCATCTGATGTTTGACAGCTGTGCAGATTTCTAGAGTTAACGCTGTCGTGCTGCTGAGTGAATATTTCTGTCTGGTTACAATGAATTCTCACTTTGTCTCTATTTGGTGTGGGAAGTAAGCCACAGGAGTCTCAAAAGTTCTCAAATTATCAGTAATGAAAAGAGTTGCTTTTAGTCATCTGGTTTTACCAGGTGTTTTTAATGGAAACTTTTGAGGGCCTTGGGGAGATCTTGAATAGCGGATTCATTTCCTTGGAATCACAGAGTCTTTCAGGCTGGAAGGGACCTCAGGAGGTCCCTAGTCCAACCTCCTGCTCAAAGCAGGATCAGCTGTGAGGTCAGGCCGGGTTGCTCAGGACTTGCATCTAGTTGGGTCTGAACCTTCAAGGATGGAAACTGCCCAACCTCTCTGGGCTCCTGTTCCACTCTTTAATTGTCCTG